CTTTTTTAACACGCTTATATTAATACAAACACGCAACACACAACAGGAACCTGGAACAAGCCAAGTGAGCTGGAACAAGTCTGGATAAATCTGGATGAAGTCTGGAAAAGTCTGGAAATCTCTGGAAACTTCTGGAAAGAGCCTGGAAATTTCTGGAAAGGGTCGGAAAAATTCTGCCAAAGGTCCCAAAAGACCTGGAGATCATTTTCCAGAATTCGGATCAGTCTGTACAAGTCTGGATAGGGTCTGGATAAATCTGGATAAAGTCTGTTAAACTCTGGATAAGTCTGGTTATTGTCTGGAAAAGTTTGGAAATTTCTGGAAAAGACTTGGAAATTTTTGGAAAGGGTTGGAAAAAATCTGAAAAAGATTCCAAAAGACCTGGGGATCATTTTCCAGAATCCGGATCAGTCTGAACAAGTCTGGAAAAAGTCTGGATTAATCTGGATAAAGTCTGGAAAACTCTGGAAAGCTCTGGAAACGTCTGAAAAGAGCCTGGAAATATCTGGAAAGGGTCGGCAAAATTCTGCCGAAGGTCCCAAAAGACCTGTGGATCATTTTCCAGAATCCCGATCAGTCTGTACAAGTCTGGATAAGGTCTGGATAAATCTTGATAAAGTCTGTAAAACTCTGGATAAGTCTGGAAAAGTCTGGAAACGTCTGGAAAAGACTTGGAAATTTCTGGAAAGGGTTGGAAAAATTCTGAAAAAGGTCCCAAAAAACCTGGGGATCATTTTCCAGAATCCGGATCAGTCTGAACAAGTCTGGATTAATCTGGATGATGTCTGGAAAACTCTGTAAAACTCTGGATAAGTCTGGATATTGTCTGGAAAAGTCTGGAAACGTTCCAGACTTGGAAATTTCTGGAAAGGGTTGGAAAAAATCTGAAAAAGGTCTCAAAAGACCTGGGGATCATTTTCCAGAATCCGGATCAGTCTGAACAAGTCTGGATTTATCGGGATGAAGTCTAGAAAACTCTGGAAAGCTCTGGATAAATCTGGATAATGCCTGGAAATCTCTGGAAACGTCTGGAAAATGCCTGGAAATTTCTTGGAAGGGTCGGAAAAATTCTGAAAAAGGTTCCAAAAGACCTGGGAATCATTTTCCAGAATCCGGATCAGTCTGTACAAGTCTGGATAAATCTGGATGAAATCTGGAAAACTCTGGAAAGCCCTGAATAAGTCTGAATAATGTCTGGAAAAGTCTGGAAATATCTGGGGCTAACACGCTTTTGATACATCGAACTAAAAAGTGAAAAATAATTTTTAATATAAACAGAAAATATTAATGAACAAAAAATATTAAAATTATTGTCAAAAAAGCGTGGGGTGCTCAATGTATGAGAAATGTGGAACCAAACACCCCAGCGTGTATTTTAGTTTTTTTAAACTATATTTATTTGCATTCTTTCTCAAGTCTTTTGGAGGGGGGGACGCCAAGGTCTATGTTAGTATGTGTGTAAAGCCTCATTTACACGGTGCAAGTAGCTTGAGCAAGTACTAACGCCAGTAACTAAATTATCTTTGTTTTCGTGCAAGTGGGTGTTTACATGCATTTTACTGATTTTAAGTCGAATTTAGTGATTAGTGCAAATTGAGGTGAAATGGCAAGTACAGTTGTTCGAAAAGAAATTTAAAAATGCATTTTGAGTGTTTATGGAGAATTATCACACATTTTATTGAAAGAAATTGAAAATGGAAAACGTTGTTGGGTTCGACCATGGATATCTCGTAGAGAAACACATGGTGCATCTTCCACATTATTGGTTGAACTGGCTAAGGAAGATCCAAAAGAATATCGAAATTGTATGCGGATGACAAAAGAACAATTCAATAAGTTAACTTTTCGAAATAAAACCCATGATTAGCACACAAGATACTGTAATGAGACCTGCTATTCCAGTAAAAATTACATTGGAAAATTTTGAAATTTTCCTATAATAAGCTCCTCATTTTCGTCTTTCTCCTGCAAAAATATCACAATTTCCACTCTGCCAATTTTCCAGAAAATAATTGTAATATAAAAGAATGAATTTCGCTTAAAAAAGTCAGTTTTCCTAAATTTGTCCTGGAGTGTTTTTTCACAGGAAAATTTTGAAATTTTGCTATAATAAGATCCTCACTTTCCTCTTTTTTCTGAAAAAAATTCACAATTTTCCTTTTGCCAGTTTTCTAGGAAATAAATGTAATTTAAGAAAATGAATTCTGCTTAAAAAAGTCAATTTTCCAGAATTTTTCCTGGGATGATTTTCCATTAGAAAAATTTGAAATTTTCCTATAATAAGCTCCTCACTTTCGTCTTTCACTTGAAAAAATTGCACAATTTTTACTTAGTCAGTTTTCCAGAAAAAAATTGAAAAACTTTGATATTTCTGTGAGAAACTCGAGTTCGAACTGCTATTATCGTCTAGCAATTTTTCAGCGATATTTTCAAGACAAAACCTTCCATTTTTTTCCCGCATATCGTGTTTTTTTACATCAGCGCGGTCACCGTTTTAAAGTTATTATTATACATATTTCTATGGACATATGGCAACGCCGAGTAGCCATCAACTGGAACCACGTTGATTACGGCAAGCCTACCACTCCGATGGAGCCCGGCTCGAAAAGTCTGGCTCCATTTGGGGGTCAAAAAATAAACATGGAATAGGTTTTCTATAAGTGTTAACTATAATATTCTTTGCTTTCAGTAAAGAGTTATACGTTCAGCTTACTGTATATTTCAAGTAGTACCTACAATCTTCAACCTCCTCTAGACCATTGGAAGCCTTAGTGACTCCTAGTTACTGAACTTCAGTGCCCAGGGCCGGGTTGCTTCTTGTTGCGGCCCCTATCCAGTCCCAGGCCATTGGAAACACTGGAAGATATTGATCCCACCTGTCAGGTTCTCTCCAAGAGATTAGGGACTACTCAGGTTTGATAAGTGTGTTGTATTGTCTTAATATCAAACCTGTCCAACCCCTTGTTGGAGTGAATCACCACAACGCAGTTCTACGACAGTATTAAATTACTCTTCAGAATTATGTGTTTTTATTTCAATTTTAATTAGTTTTCTATATTACCTTTATCATATGAAATTTACTATTCAGGTTATGTACTATAAGGTACTTCAATTTTAAGTATTTATCTATACCTTCTATATTATTCCATAATATTAAATTTGCCCCTCAGGCTATTTATTGTTACTTCAACTTTAATTATTGATCTCTCATAACTATCCCATAAATACATGCTGCACTGAATACAGGAAATACTTGTACACTGGGGTTAAATGGCCATTTACGAAGGTACTGCATTAAGTGAGCTTATTTATTAATTAATATTTCAGGTATTTTTGCTGTTAATTGTTATTACTCTTTATTTTTTTTTATTTTGGGACTCAAGTTGAGTGTGATTAATAATTATTGTAAATACTATTTTAAGAACATATGGTTAGATACTTCTAGACGATTTCTTTTCTTGCTCTGGTTCCAGTGTAAATAATTTTCAGTGTTCCAGGGCGTTCGAAAAACTCACTCCGAACCTGCTCTAGAGTCAACCTGTTCTGGTTTCACGTTTCTTGTTCTAATTAAAACCCGTACCTGATTGTAGCAAAGCGTTTCACTTTTGTTCTTCCTTCTTGTTTACGTTTATATTTCAGGTTGTGCTGCTATAGGTCCGTAGAAGTTTCCTGCTTTCGTTATATCGGTTGATTTCGTGTACTACAGGGAAAAAGCAGGTGGCGCTCTATATTTAGTTATTTAACTGACCCACACCCCTCTCCGTATTGGAAGCTAGTCGGCAACCCTTTACACGAAATCACGTTTCTAGATTTCAGCCACCAACCAACTCTCTCTTCTCTTTTTATTTTTTTTTCTTTTTAGTTACCCATTAACTTTCCCACCTCCTCAAAATCTTATTACTGACTTCTCCGTTACGTTTTGCGGGTAACAAAGTGGCAGTGTCCGTTTTGTGCCACGTAATACTGTGCAGAGCTATTATGGGAGAACGAAGACCTACTCTCGCCTTTCAAGCAGCATCCCCAGCTTTCTCAAACCATAGGGCTGTAGGTTGGCCTGCAGAAACTGACAGTACCTAGAAGGATGCACAAGGGGGCAGATTTTTCATCTAAACAATTTAAGTGCATCAGATTGAAGATTTAATTTTCCAAATAAATACCTCAGGAATCACTCTTTGAATTTTTGCCCCATATTTTTGAAAACACCCAATCCAAAATAAACTGGGAAATGGAATAATGGGTATTAATTTCCAAGTAAAGCCAAGAATTTAACACAATGATTATATTCAGTTGAATATAAAAAATACTAGTCGCTAAAGCCCAAGATACTACTGGATATAAAAGATTTGGAAAATGTTAACCCTCATTGCTTGATTTCCGATACAAATAGGCAAACCTCCAAAACACCAAATAATTGCTATATAACATCAGTTTTGGTTGTTCATTGAAGAGGGAACAGAATAAAATCCATGATTCAAATAGAAATTTAAGCAGGCAATAAGGTGAAGTGAGCCATCACACAATTCCTATCAATATTAATTAAAATACTTAAAACAAAAAATGTGACGTTACAAAGCGCGGAAGTCGTTAAAGTATATATTTTTTTTAAATCAAACTAGTTCAAGAAAAATGACTTTCCAATTCCAACATTATTCAATGCTACTTTCAAATGCGTGAAACTATTTGAGAAGATTCTTATTTTTCAAGTAGTATAGAAAAATATTTTTCGATCAGAGATGTCCAACTTACTAAAATATCTTTATTAATACGACCGACCTTCCGACACTAGATCTGTTGGATCTGTACAGCCAGAATAATATGGATTACATTTTCTTTAGACACTTCATTCTACTGTATGGGTACCAAAACTAAAATTGCATAATGCATGTTAATCAGTCTTTGAAAATGAAACAGATATACCTAGTGGTGTAATGGCAGCTATGTTGTTTTAATCGGTTTTGATAAAGTGCACAAAATATAAAGAAGTTAGGTTATTTACTTACTCGGAAAATAAAATCCATCGAAACGTACAAAAGATTTGGTAATCCAATCCTTTCTCAGCCACACTATAATCAGTCCGGCCACTGGTAAAAGTAAATATACAAGAATTGGAGCCATATCGTGACAGTTTTGGTGATTTGCATTACTGACTGGAACGAAAGATTTTTTTAATCAGGAGAACAATATTGGGTTTGCTGAATGATATTATATTGCAATATTCAAATAAACAATAGGAAATTTATGTAATGGGTAAAAACTTCAAAAGAACACAATGAAATGTTCTTTTGATTTGATGCAGTTTTTAATGATGCAACTTATTTCAGTAAGAAAAAAAAATTACGATATCAAAAGTCTTGGCACTTTGTTTAACAAGCTTTGACTTTTACAATATGTAATTAATTTTTTGATGTACATTCACATATTAAATAATTGCTAATGGAACGTAATTTGGACTTATCCTTTCAACCTAGATGAATAGAAATGTAAATTAATTTTTTGCATTCACTTTAAGTATGCCTAATAAAATTAGAATGGAAAAATGCCAAGATATCCAAATTACAGTTGGAGAAATTTCAATTTTAAGTATAATTTCACTCACCAGAAGTATCAACCGATACCATATCACATTTCACATGCACTGACTCTTCCCAAACACCACAACCAATAAGTACCACCTAGAAAAACAGTTTTTTGCGAAATATCTTACGTGCAAGCGTTTGCTGTTATGTACGCAGATGATTATTATACCGTAAAAAAAACAGCCCACTGTAAAGTTTTTATTTATGTGTATATTTCTAGCGAATGTATAATACCCGTTCGATAGTTGCAAACGCAATGCAACTCGCGTTATTGTGGCTTCGAATCGGACCGTGGTCAAATTACCATGAAAGGCTTTCTTTTGCATTAAATTTTCGTGTTAGTAACGTACACAGAGGACTGGGGACTGGTTAAATATTATTGTTTGCCGATAATTGTTTTTGCAATTAGGATTTAACATGTTTATACGAAATTGGAATGGGTTTTAAAAATTTCCAAATAGGTACCTATTCCTATACTCACGAGCTTAGTGTTAACGGGGACACATTTATGACCTAAAATCAAGCACTATACTTACCTATTTTCAGTTTTAAATCAAGCAGCACCAATACAAAGCTAGTTTTCTTTTCTAAATTGACAATCTATTCTACATAATTTATTGAGAACATTGAGTATTGAGTATAGAAGAAAAATAATTTGTCTTGAAAAACTATGATTAAATTGGGCTCAGAGATGATTAAAAAATGATCATCCTAGATTGTAGATTGCATTTGGAGTCGCTACAACTTGTTTCAGCCGCTCAAGCACTGCTAGCTTTCCAGATACTTTGTGCGTGACTCTGCTTCTAGTTGGTGTCCAAGATTTGTAGGCTTCTCCCAAAGGAGGCCAGCTTCCTGGGTGGTGCCCACCTCTTGCGGTTAGCCGTATCCCTTGAAGGTATTTCAGCCTCTTGCAGAAGTGAGCAGGGCATCCAAGAATAAATTTTCTGTCGAGTTTTCTGTAGTTTCTGTTGCTTGTTCGCAAGATCTGCAGTGCTCGTTGTCTGATTTGGCTATGTTTTTAGGTGATATTTCACCAGGCAAAGCCCAGTGAGCAAACCAACGACTGTTCCAATGCCTCTTCTGTTCATGTCAAGAAGTTGTTCAGATCTCTTTGCTGAGATGGATATGAACATGTCCCAGATCCGGAATGGATCTCCAGTGAGCTAGCATTCGCTCCTTTTTCCATCTGTCCATTTCTTCGGAGACGTGGCTTTTCAGTATAGTCCATAAAAAAACCCTGGGCTTTGAAAAGGTGTTAAAGCGCCTTCCTTTGTGAGGCGGTCTGGTCTGTCTTCTCGTTGTCCTCTATGCTCTGGTGTCCTGGCACCCACATCAGGTTTACTTTGTTCCTCCCAGCCAGTTGCCTAAGGATATTTTTACTTGCATAATTGCACTTGATGGTTCCAAGAGCCTTTAGAGCCGCTTGACAGTCGCACAGTATGTGAGTGTATGCTCTCTTAAAAGGCCTCTTTTAAGGCACTCTTGGGCACAGATGTTTATGGCCAGTAACTCAGCTTGAAATTTTGTGGGCGTTTTACCCATTGCTGAGGAAAGTTTGGTCCAATTATTCCCAGACCGACTTCTTCCGTTTGCTTCGAACCATCAGTGTACCACAATGATGCGTTGTCCGCTTGCGGTAGCTCTGGCGCTCTTCCATGATTGGCGTTCTTTCACAATCACTTCATGTGGAATGTCAAAGTCCAGTGATGTTATCATTATGATCTTTTGGTTACCTTTGGCACTTGAGCTTTATAGATTGAAGGCTGCCTAAGTGGCCATTCAGATCACCAGGTTTAAATATTTTTGTCTGGCTATAGGTATCTATTCTTTCCTATTTTTTCACATATAGGAGGCATGTTCAGCAGTGTCTCTAAGGCTGCGGTGGGGCAGGTTGACATAGCCCCTTTTATTCCTAGACAGATTAGCCTTTGTACTTTACGTAGACTATTCTTCCCAATAATTTGCTCGGTCTTGGGCCATTATATCAACGAGGTGCAGGTGGCAACTGTTTGGTAAATCAAATGTATTATTTCTGGTCTTATCCCCCATATTTTTTCCACGAGTTTGGGGCATGTCCAAGTGGCCGCCAAGCTCGTGATATTGTTCTGTTCAGATGGTTGTTTCAAATGAGTTTGCGTTCCAGGGTGACCCCTAAATAATTAACTTCATCTGAGAGAGATAACTTAGTGCCGTTTAGAGTGGGGGCTCGCAGATCCAGGTTCCTTCTTCTCCTAAACGGAACTGAGGTCGTTCTGCTGATATTTATGGAAAGTCCTTCTTCCTCGCTCCAGTTTTTGATTATATTCGAGGAACTTTGCATTCGCTCTGTTATTATGCCTCCATGCTTGCCTCTGATTATCACGGAGGAAAAAGTAGACTTTTATATTTAGTGCAAAATTTCTTTAATAAAATCCGTGCAGAGAGAGCGCTTTCGGCCTTAGGCCATCATCAGTGCTACCTGAAAAACAAGTTCCTTATTTCCGTAACGAACTTGTTCAGCACCGTCCCTAAGTCTGAAGCTGTCAACATTGGTAGGGAATCTCGTCAGATCTAAGAATTTGGATGAACAAAAAGTAGTAGATATCTTGTCGCTTCTCAACCACTGTCTTTCACAAAACTATTTCTCATTTAGTAATGTTTAGGGGAGAGTGGGGCAACTTCGACATGCGAGGCAAGTTTGTCACCGCGCTTTACTAGGAATCGGTTGGATTCGGAAGTTCCGAAACTGGCTTGAGGGTGCATCGTACGTATCAGTTAGTTGCTCCTTAAGTCTGGAGAAGGTAGCTACTCAATTTGTCGCATAAAACGCAATTATCGAGTTTTTAAATTTCTGATCTAAGGATTAGCTATTAGTTTAATAATACTTTCGTTCCGTTAGAGCGTTCTATTTCGCAAGTTAATTTTTACAGAGTTACTTTGACCCATCTTTTGTAGAAATATTTGATAATAGGCGGTAAAAAAGGCTCCTGTAAGATGTTTTTAAATATTTCACTAGAATCCGCTTGGGTGGGGCAACTTCGCCAATCGTTATCCCGGCACTTTCGAACTATTATTTTTGTTTCTAGGATGGTTAGAGATTATAGAAAAAACTATCTGATGTATACGAAGAAAAGCAGTTAATTTTTGCTGTGATTTAGGCAGAAAATAAAATTTAGGTATTTGTATCAGAATAATGCTGTCGAATTTGCCCCCTAGGGGAGAGCAAGTTCGTCATTTGACATTGATGTAAAACAAAATATTTTTCTCTTTGAATTTATACGATATTGGTTTTAAACGCTTATTACTCACTAAAGAAATGTTATCACTATGTTTAGATAAAGTTGTGTTTATTTCTGTAAATACAAATCGTTTTTATAAAATCTTGCAAACCTTAACATGTCGAAGTTGCCCCACTCTCCCCTACTTCCAACAGCCAGATGGGTTAACTATGAGCAGTTGTCTCTCCCCATTCCTAGCTGATGTCTTCATGAATCACCATGAAAATAACCACATAATCACCAACTAACAATAGCGAAATTATCCATTGGTTCAGATATGTTGACGATTGCTTGTGTTTCCTAAAACGCAACGATAATTAAGCCGATCTCCTATTGCAAAAGATAGACTTAATACATTCAAATATCAAGTTCACCCTCGAAATTGAAAAGAACAACATGATCAATTTCCTTGATCTTTCCATCTCTGAACAACCCACCAACAAATTACAATTTTCAATATATAGGAAACCCACACAGACTGATCATGCAACCCCAAAAATGTCTAATCATTCTCAATAACACAAATTAGCGGCCTTCCATTGTTACATCCCCAGACTCGTCGACACTCCATTATCAAAAGAAGACTATGATGGCGAAGTAAAAATTCTTAAACAAATAGCACATAACAACTCATACGACCCCACAATGATCGATAAGCTCATCACAAAAACCAAATTTAAAAGATTGAGGAGAGAAATCTACCCTGTCATTACCCCCCAATTTCCCTTTCTGCTGACTTGACAACAAATTCAAAAGTATCCTCAGCACTTCCAAAATGTACAGAATGTTAAAATCCTATATTGAATCCACAACAGTTTGGACACTCACCTAGTTCCAAGAACAAAATAGAGCACCTCTCTAAAAGTGAAATCTACAGGTTGGATTGCGATTGTTGCCAAATGATTTACATCGGTCGAACTTGTAGACCACTCAAGTCAAAACCCGCAGTCAGGAATATATCAACAGATCATCTTCTGCATTTGGCAAACACTTGCGGATCAACAAACACGGCTTCAGTCCCCATTCTAAAATTCTCTACAATTTTTCCTGGAAAAATTTCAACCGCGTGGATTTTCTGGAAGATATCGAAATTAGTAAAGAATTACGGACTAGCGATTCTTGCGTAAACACACAGGTTAATTTAAACATAGCATACATCCCCTTGCACAGACGCCTTTGAAGGGCGATTCTTTTCCACCGTCATAGTGTGGTTTCACCTCTAACGTTACTACTTTATCTATGAATTTTCTATCTCACTCGTTGTGAACCTCAGAGGTTGTGAACCAACAAAAATCCAAAGTAATGCACAAGCCACCGACCAAAAATTTGATTGACGAAATGTCAACTGTCACCTGAATCCTTTATTTCAAACTTAAGTTAAGTCAAGATTAACTTCACAGCTTTTTTCGACCCTAGCTCGCGAAGAACAAACGTGGTCTCGGAAGAGAATCGCTTTTCTTTAAGTAGAATACTTACAATTTGTGTAAATCATTACCTTTTAATGCAAATAGGAATCCATATGGAGCTCCCTAAGGTATTCGAAATTTAATTTTTCGCCTAATCTTCAACCAGGATAGAAATAATCTGCGAATAGGCTAGGTACACACATGGGGGGACAACTCGGGGGGTTCTAAGGAACCCCCAGATGAAAAAAATTAAAATAAAGAAAGTGAGGAAAATAATCAAAAAGTGAACAATAGCGAAAAAAATTAAAAAATCAGGGAAAAGAAAGTGTCACACAAATATAAAAAAACTTCATTGGGATCATATCAGGTGGTAGTTCAAGCATTGGCGGTCCATACATGATTTTCTGGGGGGGGGGGGGGGGGGGGTAATGGCTGATGGGAAAATTATCAAGTGTCGCAACGTAGGTACTAGGTACGTAAATTTTTTTTGGGGTGCCACGCCCAAATTTGCACTCGAAAGTCGTTTAAAAAACACGCCTCGGGCAAAACTGTATCCCGATGCCGCAAAATAGTCATACAGGGTGTCCACTTAGTGCGATATCGGACGATATCTCTTTACAGGATGATGCAAAAAAAAATTATTAAATTACAAAGTTGTTTGATTCTCTAAGGTGCATTAGTTAAAAATATTT